CTCATAAATGCTTATGCGCTAGTAGCCACTGGTCAGATCAAGATATAAGATGTCATCTTTATTTCAGAAAGTTCCTTCCTGGTCTTTTCAGTTTCCGAAAAGAGAATCACTGCTCTGATTTCTATCATCAGAGACTAGTTTTGTTGGTTCAAGTTCAAGTCTACCCTGTGACTCAGCAAGAGAAACAAGGACATATGTCTGTGAATGGCATGTATGGGAATGTTCAGATCAGCATTATTTATAATGGCCCCAAGCTGGAAATACCCCAGATGTCCATGAAATGTGAATGGATGAACAGACTGGGCTGTTCATGCAATGCGACTTGACTGAGTCAACTGTGAAAATTAATGAACTTCATTTTTTTTCTTTCGAGATAGAATCTCACTTTGTCGCCCTTGGTAGAGTGTTGTGGCAACACAGCTCACAGCAACCTCAAACTGAACTCCTTGCCTCAGCCTCCCGAGTAGCTGGGACTACAGGTGCTCACCACAACTCCTGGCTATTTTTAGAGATGAGATCTCGCTGTACATCGGGCTGGTCTTGAACTTATGAGCTCTGGCAATTCAGCCTCCCAGCGTACTAGGATTACAGGCATGAGCCACTGCGCCCAGCCTGAAAAGTAATAAACTTCAGACACACTGAACAAGCATGGAGGACCAGTGCAGGCAGGATTCTCGTGATTATGTTTACATGCTGCTCCTGTATTATTTGGTCACTGATGTGTTTCACTTGCACACTTCAAAAATAGTCATTGAGATTCAGGCTGGATGCAATGGCTCATGCCTGTAGTTCTAGCTACTTGGGATGCTGAGACAGGAGGATCGCTTAAGCCCAGAAGTTTGAGGTTGCAGTGAGTTGTGATTGTGCCACTGCACTCTAGCTGGGGCAACAGAGTGAGACCATTCTGTCCCCCCCTGTATAAAGAAGTCACTACAGGGTAGAGTGGTGGTATTCTTGCAAAGGGCATGTGCTGTCACATTGCTGGAGAATCTGTGTCAGGGCTGGTGCTCATGGCTTCTGAAACACTGCATCCCTGGCAGTGCCAGATGCCTCTGTTGCTGCCTCTCAGGTGCCTGCTGTCAGCCAGATGGCCTGGGGCTCTAGGTGGAGTCAGGGCCTGGGCTTGGTGTGGTGCTGGCAAGGTTAAGAGCCTCAGGAGAGCATGGTGTCAATAGTGTCCTCTGTGAAGGGGAGAAACAAGGATGTCCCCTTTGCTGAAGGCTATGGTGATAAGCCAACTTTGGGGTTTGTGACCCCATGTGGCCTCCTTGGTCTTTCCCTCTTTCTGCTTCCTGATTCCATATGTCTTGCTGCCCCATCCCCTCTTCTCAGGGAACCCTGCTCAACCCCTCAGCACCCCACCTTCTTACTTCCATAGTACGTGTTCTTTGCATCCACGCCTTCTGTGTCTCTATACCTCCCAGGTGCTGAGGAGGTAGGGATAAGTATGTGTCTTCTCTTGGAGGAACCTGGAGTGTATGGCTTGGCTACATCATATGGTCTTCTCATGCCTCCAGCTCCACATTGGCCAAACAGGAGGCTGCCAGGAGGAAAGCACAGCTCAGGGTGTTAGGGTGAAGTGGCGCATGTGGTATGACATGTTCAGTGTGGGGCAGGCAGTGCCTTCCGCTCTTTGTCATTCTTGGGAGCACAGTTTGAGGACATGTAGCGTCCCAGGACTGGAGAGGCCAGGGCTTTACCCCCTAAAGGTTGTCCTAAGTCTTCAGGGCGTTTCCCCCATCTCCCATCCTAGCCTGTTCTCCATCCAGCTATTCTTAGGTCATTGCTGTGCACCTCCTGAGCCACCCTGAATCTGTCCAGGATTAATCCTCTGCCTTCCATATCCCTATCTACCATCCCTTGATCTGGCCCCTGTCATTATTACCCTGAGTCAGTGCAGTCACCTCTGGCCGTCCCTAAATCCCACTTAATGGCCTTGCTCTAGGAATGATAACCAGGTTACCTGGTTGTGATCCCCAGCCCTGCCATCCCCATTTTCCCATCATGTTCACTCTAGGCTGCTCCCATGGGGGCTCTCAGAGCCCTATCATCCATCAAGATCCCCTTATTGCACCAGTGGGGCCTCAAGTCCCTCGAGACTTTGGGTAGTCATCCATGCACCCAGCCAGAGGAAGTGCTATAGAAGCAGCTGATGAGATGGGAACCCCATGGTTTAATGTGTGTGGCAAGAGTGCATTTGTGCCCCTGTCCCATGCTTATTACTCTTCCAGGGAGCCAGCATCTCCTGAGACCCTCCAGGGCCCCCATCAAGGATTCCCAACACTGGTAGGGCTACCCTCCTGCTCAGGAGGACAGCAGCGCCAGTGGCACTTGGTGGGGGACCTGCCACGCTGTCTTGCTGTGTGTGGGGCATATCTGCCCAATACTCATCTATCCTCCAAACATCCATCTAGGTACAAATGCTGTTTGAAATTTCCTGAGCCTAGAAACTTTTGCCTTTTTTTTTTGAGACAAGAGTCCTGTTGCTCAGGCTAGAAGTGCTGTGGCGTCAGCCTGGCTCACAGCATCCTCAAACTTTTGGGCTCATTAGATCCTCTTGCCTCAGCCCCTGGAATAGCTGGAACTACAGACACCTGCCACAACGCCTGGCTTTTTTTTTTTGTTGCAGTATCATTGTTTAACTGGCCCTGGGCGGGTTCAAACCCACCAGCCTGGGTGTATGTGGCTGGCACCCTACTGACCGAGCTATGGGCACTGCCCACATTTTGCCATTTCATATGAAACAGCAGTATCCCTTGTAAGGTTAGTGTACTCTGATCACACAGATCCTACTTCAGTGCCTGGCTGGACACTTTCATTTTCTTTTTTCTTTTTTTTCTTTGAGACAGAGCCTCAAGCTGTTGCCCTGGGTAGGGTGCCATGGCATCACAGCTCACAGCAACCTCCAACTCCTGGGCTCAAGCGAGTCTCCTGCCTCCACCTCCCAAGTAGCTGGGATTAAAGGCGCCCGCCACAGCGCTCGACTATTTTTTGGTTGCAGCCATCACTGTTGTTTGGCTGGCTCGGGCTGGATTCAAACCAGCCAGTTCAGATGTACGTAGCTGGCGCCTTAGCCACTTGAGCCACAGGCGCTGAGCCGGACACTTTCATTTTCCTTTCTCATGGTATGGAATGCCTATTGTTCTTCCTGCTTGCCAGAATACAGGCATTTTCACTGCTAAGTTGGTGCAGGCCTGCATCCTGTCTTCTAGGGTGGCTGTGCCTGGTAGCATTTCCATTGTGAAATACATGGTACATAGGATTTTTTAAATGGGAATAAGGTTTTGCTATGTTGCCCAGGGTAGACTTGAACTCCTGGGCTTAAATGATCCTCCCTCCTGAGTAGCGGGAACTACAAGCATACACCACTCCACCAAGCATTGCACAGAATATATATTTTTCCTAAATAGCTCTATTTTTTTTTTTTTTTTTTTTTTGAGACAGAGCCTCAAGCTGTCCCCCTGGGTAGAGTGCCATGGCATCATAGTTCACAGCAACCTTCAACTCCTGGGCTCAAGCGAGTCTCCTGCCTCAGCCTCCCCTCAGCTGGGACCACAAGCACCTGCCACAATGCCCAGCTATTTTTTTTGGGGGGGGGGGTTGCAGCCATTATTGTTTGGCAGGCCCGGGCTGGATTAGAACCCACCACCTTAGGTGTATGTGGCTGGCGTCCTAGCCGCTTGAGCCACAGACGCCGAGCCCTAAATAGCTCTATTAAGGGGTTACTAATATAGTATGAAATTCACCCTTATTTATTTATTTACTTATTTATTTTGAGACAATGCCTAAAGCTATCGTGCTTGGTAGAGTTCCGGGGCATCACAGCACACAGCAACCTCCAACTCCTGGGCTCAAGCTATTCTCCTGCCTCCGCCTCCCAAGTAGCTGGGACTACAGGCACCTGTCACAATGCCCAGCTATTTTTTGGTTGCAGTCATCATTGTTGTTTGGCAGGCCCAGGCTGGATTCAAACCCACCAGCTCTGGTGTATGTGGCTGGAGCTTTAGCCACTTGAGACACAGGCGCTGAGCCTCACCCATTTCAAAATAAGTGATTTTTAGTAAATTTGCCACCAATTATAGAAAACATCTAGCCGGGCATTGTGGCAGGCGCCTGTAGTCCCAGCTACTCGAGAGGCTGAGGCAAGAGAATTGCCTAAGCCCAAGAGCTGGAGGTTGCCGTGAGCTGTGATGCCACAGCACTATACCAAGAGCAAGAAGGTGAGACTCTGTCTCAAAAAAAAAAAAAGGATGGCACCTGTGTCTCAGTGGGCAGGGCGCCAGCCCCATATACTGAGGGTGGCAGATTCAAACCTGGTCCCCGGCCAAACTGCAACAAAAAAATAGCTGGGCATTGTGGCAGGCGCCTGTAGTCCCAGCTACTCAGGAGGCTGAGGCAAGAGAATTGCCTAAGCCCAGGAGTTGGAGTTTGCTGTGAGCTGTGTGACGCCACTGCATTCTACTGTGGGTGATAAAGTGAAACTGTCTCTACAAAAAGAAAAGAAAAGAAAAGAAACATCACCATGGTCCAACTTCAGACCATTTTCATCACCCCAGAAAGCTCTCGGCCCTCTGTCTGCCATTGGTTCCTGTTCTGATTTGCCTTCTGACTCTTTATCAATGTGTCATTTTTGGACATAAACATTATATGTTGCCATTAATTAATTTTATTTCACTTTTATGTCATACATATGACATTATATTGATTTTATGCATGTATGAAATGTATTTATTTCTTGAATGTGGGGGAGATTGTTCAGATCCTTCTGAAGTAAAATGGTCCTGAGAGTGCTGGGGTGCAGAGGGAAATAGTGCCATTGGCTATGACCTTTAACCCAGAGCTTCCAAGACCAGAGAGTTCCCCAAGGTCCAGCTAGGGTTGGGTGTCATTGTTGAGGTCACCCAAATTGCAAGACTGAGTTGCTGCATCATGTGTGGTCACACTTCCTGCCTCCTGTGCAGGACTTGTGAGTAATTTCTGTCCCTTTCCCCCCCTCACAGGGACTTCCTTCCCCGTGGTTCAGGAATTGTCACCCGGCGGCCTCTTGTTCTGCAGCTCATCTTCTCAAAAACAGGTATGGTGGGGCAGCCCACAGCTACACCTGGAAATGAATGTGGTGGACTTTGTGCCCAGAAGATCCAGGTCTGAGGGTGGAACTAGATCCTGGGCTATGGTTTGGGTTTGAATTCATGTTTCACCTGCCTGGGGAAGTTGAAAAACAACTCAGTGAACACCCCCCCACACACACACACCACAGGCCCTCAATTGTGGGCAGGATGCCAGGTGCCGTATTATTTTTCCATATCTTGTAGATAACACATTTTTGCTGAACCCTTTCAAATTCAGGAGCAGAGATGGTGACATGTCCATTCTAAGTGCTTAAGTGTACCTTCTTGTGCAGTAAGGACACTATCCTATGTTGTCAGAGCCACATATTGAAGTCTAGGAATCATTCCTGCATGTTATCCGAGTCCCAGTGTCTACTCAATATGCTGTCAGTTGTCCCCAGAGATCTGGCTGGTTTTATAGCTCCTCTGCACTACACTCATTTATCATGTCACCTTCTCTTTTCATAAAAGCAACCTTCCTACTGTCTCTGATTAATAGGCATTATAGGCATTGACTGTTGAGAGAGACCCAGTCCACTCAACACAGAGCCCATATATGGGCTTTTTCCTGTTCTCTCAGCCTCAGTTTATTTCTGTTCTTCCACAAGGCCGACTTGAGGTGGCTGTGTGTCCCAGGCCAAAACTCACTTGGGGCTCAAAAAGCATCTGGGGCCAGGGTGGTGCCTGTGGCTCAAAGGAGTGGCGGGTTCAAACCTGTCCTTGGCCAAAAACTGCAAAAAAACTAAAACAAAACAGAAAGCATCTGGGGCTAAAAGCTGGTGGCGGGGGGAGCAGGGCTTCTTTTCTCCAGAGTCAGTCAGGAGGGTCTCCCTACACTTCCCCACTGCCCTGGAATATCAGCACTCAGTGTGTGCCAATCTGCCCTTTAAGCGCTGATAAATAATTGCCAGAGGCACCTGGCACACCTGTTTTGCGCATGGGGAAACTGAGGCTTAGCGAGGTTACCTGAGTTTCCACAGGGGCGGCAGATTTGGTATCTCTAGACAGATCTTGCCTCAGTCATGCCCTGCCCAGCCTTCCCACCTCTGTCCTCTGGCTCCACCTACCCCCATGGGTGGGCGTGGCCCCAGGGAGAGCCAGTTGCTGATAGGTGCCTCTTCCTTATGAGCTGTGCTAAGTCATAGGCCAGAGCCGAGCCAGGGTGGCTGCTTCCCCTGAGGTCAGTGTCCAGTCCTTTTTGCTAGAAAGGGATAGGGCAGAGCAGGGGATTTCACATGCTTTGGAGCTCAGCCCACATGGGTTTCTGTTCCTCATTCAGCTGGTTAGGGAGTGATCTTGAGAATCTACATTATTGAGTTCCACTGTGATGCTGCCAAGGCTGCTGGTCCCCAGCCACCCTGAGAAAGCCTGCCCTTGCTGGGGGAGCTCAGACTGTTCCAGTTCCAATCCTGGCTTCTAAGGAGAGACTGCTGCTGGGAACAGTGAAGATAATGGTGCCTGCCTGCCCTGAAGACCATGTTGTTTAAAACACGGGAGACAAGGGGAGAGAATCTTGTAAAGAGCCTCTCCTGGCTGGGCACCAAGGGTAGGAGCACCTGCTAGGTCCCCGAGGAGTAAATCTCTATTCCTAACATCCCCACCTTAGAGGGACCTGGGGCTTCCTTGACACTTGTCTGAGGGCAGGTGTTGTCTTTAAAGCCCTGCCTTGAGCCCACTCTAGAGACACATGGCCTTGAGCTCAGGTGTTTCTTGACTAGATTCCTATGGCTGCGAGTGGGGGCCAATGCCAAGGCCAGGCACCCTAGAGGTGTCAGGAGTAGTTGCTAAAGTTGTGGGGGGCATTGGGGATGGGGTGGCAACTCCAGTGGAGGTGAACACGTAGTTGGATCCTGTTGGGTTGAGTGTGGGGTATAGGGAGAGTTCCACATGTGTGTGACCCCCCCACCCCTACCATGTATGGCTCCTAGCTCACAGCTCCCCACATCAGGTGCCTCTCAGGGAGAGACCAGCTCAGCCCTCCAGCTGCTGTATTCAGGAGGGACAGGTGGGGACAGGAACAGAGGCAGGGTAGATGGGTGGGGAGAGGTAGAGAGATCGGTGTGGCACCAGACAAGAGATGATAGGGTCTGGCCCAGGCAGTGTCAGGAATATGTATGTGTATGTGGGAAAATGCGAATGTGTGAAGGGCAGCCTAGGGTGACCTCTAGACCAGGCACTAAATAGCAGAGGCACTTGGACAGGAACAGATGAGTAGATGTTCCTACTAACAGGAGGGTGGAATGATGGGTACGTAGTGGAACTCTGACTGCTGGGCTTAAGGGGCCCTGGGGTTACATGGGGCTGTGTTACTCCTAGAGATTGAAAATTCGTTAAGTTGGCTCTTGGTGACTGAACTTGGAGCCAGGCTGCTACCCTTTGCTGGCCAGAGACATGGGCAAGTAACTTCCATCTCTATGCCTTGGTTTCCTTGTCTGTAAAATAGGGGTGATCCAGTGCCTTCTTCGTGGCTATGGAACCCTATTTGGCTGTGGTGTGCCTGCTTCCCCCTTGTGAGGTTGGAATCCAAAGACAGGGCCCCAGAGGCAAGGCCTGGGTCCACCTTTCTGACTCCTTTGACATCTGGTGATTCCTGACTTCACTTGTTCAGAGTGGTCTCAGTGAACAGTTACATATGACCAGCTTAGTTTATTTTTATTTTTATTTATTTATTTATTTTTGTAGAGACAAAGTCTTACTTTATCGTCTCAGTAGAGTGCCGTGGCGTCACACAGCTCATAGTAACCTCCAACTCCTAGGCTTAGGCGATTCTCTTGCCTCAACCTCCCAAGTAGCTGGGACTACAGGCGCCCACCACAACGCCTGACTATATTTTTGTTGCAGTTTGTCTTGGGGCAGTTTGAACCCGCCATCTTTGGTATATGGGGCCGGTGCCCTAACTACTGAGCTGTAGTTGCCGCCCCATGACCAGCTTAGTTTAAAAATTACCCCCAAACCTCAGCTAACCACAACCTCCAGGATGTTCGGTGGCCTCTGAGCTTCTTAAGCTCCAGTGTTCTATGTGAATGTGGATGAGGGGGCCTCATGAGCACCCACTACCTTGACCTTGACTTTGGTCTATGCTCACCTGGCCAGGGAATAAATGTCAGGATTGACTTCTAGACTTTCCACTGGATTCACAATTCGATCCGGGCTGCTTCTCATGGTTTTATGGCCCTGACTGGGCTTTTCTGACCTACAGCACATGGTAGGGATGCTATGTGCCTTGCGAGAGTGGTTTGCTCTGTCTGGGTTCCCTCCTATGTGAGTTTGGGTAATGATGGTGCCCTTGGGGTCTTGTGCCTGCTCAGAGGGTGGCAGTTCTGGCTTCTACTCTTCCTGGGCAGATGTTGACTCATTAAGTTCTCACTCAGGCACTGTTGTGATGCCTATTTTATACATCAGTAGACAGAGACTTAGGTGGGTTTGCCGTCTGTGAACTGAGTTCATAACTTCCCCAGTATGCTGCAAGCACACATGGAGCTCTGGGATGCTGTAGCATGCAGGTTCTGGCCCCATCAGTATGATCCACAGTGACCCAGCTCTGATGGAGATAGAGAACAAGATGCAGGTAGGAAAGGTTGCCCTGGAGGAGGAGAAGGTTAGGAGGCGGAGAAGGTAGAGCCAGGAGAGAACCAGGGTTTGCTGTGGGGGTTGGGGTATGTTCCATTTTTAGCGGCTGCTATAGGAAGAGCAGCTGAGTGTTTCCTCTTGTCCGGGTGAAGGGCTGGAAGGTGACTATCCTTGGGAACTGGGTCAGCTGATAGCAGGGCTAGCTGTATGGTGGAGATCCTGGTGTCCCTGTTGCCTCTGCCCTGCGTGGCCCGTCCCATGCTGGACATGAACCTTAGTGAGCTGAGCCCGCTCGACTCCCTGACTCTGCAGCAGAATTTCAGTGAGGCGAAGACCCTTTCTGTGCCTCATAGGAGTTGTCTGGCTTGAGAGCTCCTACTCAGAACCAGAACATCTGATTTGTTACAGCTTCATCACTGAACTCAGACCCTATAGCTTCACCTCTTTGGGACTCAGTTTCCTCATCATTGAAAGGGGGATGACAGAGAAGCTTACCTACTTGGGGACATGGGAAAAACACATGGGACTCTTTGCAGGACCTGGCCAGAGTGAGAAAGGCCTCAACATTGGCCATAGTTAGGTTATAGTGATGAGGTGGGGAACCTCCATGTGTAATGAGGGTTTTTTTTTTTTTCCTCCTTACACCTCTGGTAGATTCTAGACCTGGCAGGTTCCTGCATATCAGGGGTCCGTCTCCCACTTTGCCTATGGGGCAGCTTTGGGTATGGCTGTGCTGTTCATGTCACCTTGTTTCCTCCTGGTGGACGTTGAGGCTATTTCCAGTGTTTTACTCTTAGAAATGACACAGCAGGGCACATATTTGCATCTCTGCAATGGCCAGTTCTCTGGCCTCTTTGCCAGCAGGACTTATTTCCCTCTTTTTCCTAGCATTGCTGCGAGAACTGTGACCTCTGAGCCTTTAGGACCCTTACCCTCCACCCCCAGCATTTTGCTGTGAAAAAATGAGCCATCTGAGACATTGCACAGTGAATATGGAGATGCGTGGCACCTCCGCCCGCGGTGTCTGGTGTCTGCATCACCCTGCAGTAGTGTTCCAGGACTAGGTTTCTTGGGGTTGCTGATGGAACCCACACTGTCTTGTCAGTTACTTTATCTCAGACTCCGTGGGCTTTCAGACACCCCCAGGCTCTTAAATCCACCTGAGGCTCTATTCAGAAAGCATTTCACCTGAGAGGTTATATCTAGGTGGGAGGTCCTCTTGAACAGCCAAAAGGGGAAGGAGGAACTCCAGACTTCTGGATGGGCTGTGGTGAGGCCAGCAGGGGCGACCCCTTCTCTTTGCTCCATGAACATCCTGCTGGGTGTCTTGTGGAGCTAGAATAGTCCCACTAGGACTGCAACTTCTGTCTCCTGTCACTAGGACCCACTACAAGGGAGGTCCATATCACCACACAGTATGTAAATATCAATATGGCAGCATGTAAACACCGAGGCAGAAGCTTTATCAAATGTACTTATTTTCTCTCTGAGTAATGCATCCAATATTTACTTGGGTATTCTTTTCATCAAAGAAAAGAATGCAGGCTCAGTGCCTGTAGCTCAAGCAGCTAAGGCACCAGCCGCATACACCAGAGCT